GGGCGCTGCCTTGAACTCCTTACCCCAGCTGCCTGGCTGCCCCCAGCTTCCCAAAGCTCAAATAAGAGGGGCCGGCGGCGGGGAAGGAGGAGGAGCCTGGAGGCTCGGCCGCCGCATTCACACAGCAGCCTCAGCCCGGCCAGGCAGCGCGCGCGGCTCCTTGGGGGCACCCTCGCGGCGGGGGTGGGGGTTGCGGGGCGGGCCTGAAGGAGCGTCCCTCTCGGAGACACACTTTTCCCCTACTCGCCACGCGCTCTCAACTGGCCTGTGTGGCGCAATCCTCCCCCCACCTCCCCGTCTTGGCCTTCGCAAGTGTGGGAGCGTCGCGGCACTGTCGAGTCCCTCCAGGTAAGCAGTGTGTCCCCTCTGCGTACGGATGCTGTGGGTGTACAGATGGGGTTGTTAATCTAAGAGGGCGGGTTGGAGGGAGGGGCAGGTGGGTTCCAAGAGGGCGGGAACTTCTGGAAAGCGCAGACAATTCTCCCGGGCTTCAAAGAGGCGGATACCCTTGATTTGCATCCGCAAGTCCGGCTCTTGCTTCTAGAGTTGGAGTGGTGGTCATAATCTTGGGGTCACTGGGGAGGGGGGTGGCCCTTGTGGGTTTCAGAGGTCGGGACTCAAGGCGAAAGTGCCTCGGCTGGGTGACTGGAAGGAGTTGCGTCAGTGATAATAAGCGGGGTGCGTTTCGATCCTTTCGTAGTTGGTTACTTGGTGATGTGTGCGTCCAGAGGAGGGCGGCTGCCGCCTACCTAAAACCGGAGTCAGCAGCACTTAATCTTACTTTCTAGTGAAGAGTGTATAATTCTACGGTTAAGCCGGGAACACAGCGGGTTAGTTCAGGAGGGAAGAAAACCCTTGAGGAAACGCCGAGTCTGCGTATATTCCGGCCAGAGCATCCTGGCGCCCAGTTCGGGGAGGAAGGGGAAGGGTTTGGGTATGAAGCGGGCGGGGAGAAGGTGGCTCCTGGAGCCACTCCGCCGAGCGTTGCCTCCGCTCGTGGTCTGGGGTACTGTTCAGAAACGCAGTAATTGACCAGGCGGACCGAGGGGTGGGGCAGGGAGAGTCTCCGTTACACAGCGGTCCAGGGCTGTGTTCGCACCGTTGGGAGCTCCGAGCGCGAGGCTTCGTCGATTCAGACTCCTCCGTCCGCCTAGTCGCTCTTTGGGAGCCCCGCGCCCCAGAGCAGGTGTTTCGGGGGTGGCTTTGTTTTGCCTTTGGTGCTGCTAAAGTAGTCGGGATCTGTCGAGAAACCGCCCATAGGCAAGGAGAAGCGCCAGGAGCCCGGAGTGTGTTTCAGGGGCGCGTGGAAACGCCCAGGAGCGCCAAGAGGCAGCGGTGATGGCGCAGCCTGGGACGGCCAGGCGCGCCGGGAGGGAAGCGGCCAGTTACACTCAGGCCTCCCGCACCGGGCCGGCCGGAGTTGAGGCCAAAGCTCTACAGACGAGCCTGTGAGAAGCAACAATCAAGATAGTTGCAGTTCTACGAAGAAACCTAGCGTTTCAATGGCCTTAATTTACTCTCCATTTCTTACGCTTTGGCTTTAGCTTGCACTGTATAAACGCAGTCGCCGCGAGTTCCAGCTGCTGGCCCGAAGTGTGTGCGGGCTCAGTACCTAAGCGCTGTGTGCAATTCCCTGCTCTTGGGGTTACGCATCCTGTAGTGCAGGAGACCCTGAGGGTCATGTACCGGAAAGTGAACGATCCGCTTGCTCCCTCAGCCACCTTCGCAGTCGTAGACACCTCCTTACGTTGTGTTTCGTGCTTGACTTTACTTCGTCTCCACTCGGATACTTAAACGGAAGGCTCTCGAGACCGGCTCCTTCTCCCCTACACTCCCCGCTCACTCCCTTCCCGCAGGCCCCATCCCTAAACCTGTAGTGGGGCTCGCCGGCTGGGCAGCTCGCACGCTTGGTCTTTTTGGTGGAGAAAGGCCACGTGAGACAAAACTTCTCAATGCCAAGTTGCTACTAGAACGCCCAAGACCTCTGTCTCTCCCTCTCCTCTCCCGCCTTTTATTTCTACTTCGAAGTCATTTTTCTAAAGTAGGACTCAAGCACTGTGAGTGAAGAGGAGCCCTTTATGAAAAGCTAGGGACTTCCATCTCCAAACGAAAAGATTGAGATTGTTTTTCCTTCGCCCTCCTTTGCAATTTTTGGGGGATTTGGGGAGGAGGTTCTGGGGTGAAGCTGGCTTGAATGTGAATTTTTGTGTTTTTGAATACCAGGTAGGACAAAGACACTTAAATCTGCTCGAACGTTAAGTTTTTCTCCGGGCGTGTGATGGAGTGGGGTGCAGAACTGGGTGGGAGGAAAGGGGAGCCAAGCAAATTTAGGGCTCCAATCTCTCCTGCCATTTTTTTCCCTTGGAATCCTTGAGCGGGGAGGAAGGAGAAGAGTAGTGGTGCGATCTCCATGTCAACCCCGAGGTGCCCCCTCGCCCCGACTTCGCAATCCGAAGCGGTAGGAGGAGTTCCCTCCGGCCATCTGGGCCGAGAAGTTAGTGCTGCGCACCCGGAGTCGCCCGCAGTCGGAGGGCCCCGGGACCCGACAGGAGCCCTCTGAATGCCCCCCACCCATCCTCAAGCCCGGGAGCCTAGGCACCCCTAAACCAGCGCTGGAAAGACCCCAAATCTCTGCGGTTGCAGGGTGCCCCGTGCCCCCCACTTCTCCCTCCTCTGCGTAACGTTCTCTGCGCGAGCGGTGCGGATGCGCCAGTTAAGCTGGCTTCGGCGCACTGAGCTGGGCGGCGAGACAGACAGCCAGCCTGGCCCGGAGGAAGATCGCACCTTCCGCCAGCCCCGACAGATAGGCGCCGTCCTGCACCTCCTTCAGCTCGAGGCCTTCCCGTGGTCCCCGGGGGGAAAAGGCTGCGGAGAGCTCGCCGCTCTCTTCTCTTACCTTCTCACCCCACTCAGCGCGGAATTCCTCTGACAAAGAGGATCCCGATCTGAAGCTGGAGATTAAACTCCTCGTTGTACACAGAAGGAAACTGAGGCTCAGGCAGAAGCAAAGGCAAGCAAGCAGTGGAGTACAGTGGTTAAGAGCAAGGGATCGGTGGGCCAAGAAGGGAATCTCAGCAGCTGTGCGCCCCTAGACGAGTTCCGCAGCCTTTCTGAGCCTCAGTTTCCTGGGATAATGCGATTCCAGTGCCCACCTCGTGGGATTGTCGTGAGGATTAGACAGGAGAGTGCCGTTGGCCTATACACTCAATAACCTTTACATTTTTTACTACTATTATTATTCAAGAGCACGTAGCAAGTTAGTGCAGAACCGAGCTGAAACCCAGGTCTCTCAACGTCCAGTTCTTGGCTTTACCCACCAACCCTATGCCTCCTGAGAGCTAATGGAACGGGGAGGAAAGAAGAGACTTTGGAAGCCCATGTGGCTTCGGTACATTGGTAAAGCGCAAGCCCTGGAAAGTGCATATTTAGTCCAAGATGAAAAAATAGCGGCTAGGAGGGAGGGGGCAGGGAGGATCTCTCAACCCCCACTTTCTCCCCGGCGCTGTCAACTGCATCTGACGGAGCGGGAACCTGGCCGCTGCAGCCGCGACCCAAGGGACCAGAGCGCACGCCCGAGCTGAGCTCCGGGCGTCACCCCCACGGCCGCCGACAACTGAATAAACACCACGAAGGGCTGAGATCTGTCAAGGGCCGGGGCCGCCAGCCTGCGCGCCTAAGGCCCAGACCGCAGTGAATAGTGGCCCGGGAGGAACAGGCGATCGATTAGCGCCTCTCCCAGGGGCCCGCGCCCCGAGCCCCACGGACAGAACAAACAGCCCCGCCGCTGCCCCAACTCTTAGGAGTCTGCCACCCCCGGCTGCGGAGCAGGCGCTTAGGATGGCTACCAGCACCGCGCTGGCGGTAGAATCCTAGCTTCATTTCTTTAAATAAATTTAAAACAAACCAAAAAAAGCAAGGGAGGGGCTTTTGTGATAGCCCACTCCCTGTTTTCCTCTGCTCATTTGAAAATTTACTAGGTCTTTTTGACCCAATCGTTTTGACCCCCATCTACGGTTCAAACTCTCCTCTCTGACCCGGTTTGGGGGCCCAGGACCATTGAGTACTGCCGGGTGCGAGGTGCAAAATTTTCCCCGTTCTCCCACCTCGCAGTGCCTGGAGCCGCCGGGGTTACCCGTCGGCTAACCTGGTGCCACCACGAGATGGTCCCCGAGCTCCCCGAGAGTCCCCAGTGAAAGGATTCTGCAGCGCTGCCTCTATTATTATACCGTAAATCTTTTTAAATTCTGGAACTAATTATATAGAGGATATGTCTCAATTTGTTCTGCATTAATGCCACAGTGGGGATGGAGGCCAGGCCGTGGCCAGAGCAGATACGGAGGCCCATGAAATTGATGAACTGAGAGTCGCTTCCAGTCCTGAGCACACCATCTGGAATTCCAGTCTGAGGTTACAATTAGAACTCCTGACCCCAGATTCAACTTTGCAGAAACGGGGGGGAAAAGGGAAAAGGAAAGAGAGAGAGAGGGGGGCGAGAAAACTTATTCTGCACCTGTAAAAAAAAAAAAAAATCCCCACATAATCTTAAAATCTTTCCATCTTAGAAAATTCTTTCCAAGTATTTTTGTGTTTTTTTAACCTATAAAAGATAATGGAGTATATTTTATAGACTGGATTTTATCTCATCCCCTTTCCTTCTCCTGACTGCACTCAGTTTAATAGTTGTCAGTTTTTCTCAGTGTTGGACTTAATTATATAAGACCAAAATATTCCGCAGTAAATTAGCTTGCTAAATATTCTGTCACTTTTGTGATTTCCCCTTGAGAAATAGCTTAATTACAGAAATCTACCTGGACCTAGGAACTTTTCTCTTTTTTTGACTGCTGCTCCAGCTTAACTGTAATCAGAGTTTTTATTTGTGTTGTAGTTTTATTTGTGTTCTAAGTCAATTTGGCTGATTTCTTCCTTCTTTCTTTAGTAACATGCTGCTTTATTTTCCTCTCACTTTGACCCCCTGAAGAAAACGAAGGACCAGGGAGTACTGGGGAATCTGTTAAATTTATTAGCATAAATGCTTAGACAAAACGAGATATAAATCATTCAGATGTATTAAGCCATAAAGTATCCCAATGAAGTCAGTCCCTCGCCAGGGTCCTGGTGTATAAATGTTCATATAAAACAAGGTATCAGTATTATCTTTCAAACAATATATGTTGTAAAAATATCCAGGGTTGAGTTTAGGAATACAGGGTTGGGGGGACGTGGCAGAGCAGGAAGGAGATATTCTCTAGAGCAGCATGTTAACATTGTGGTGGCTCAAAAAGTATAACAAATGAAAGACCTCAACGGTTTGCATTTGGAGTCTTTAGTAGACAATTTTTTTAAAAAAC